GGATATAGCGAAGTCATTAAGGTCTTCCGTTTCCAACGGAAGACCTTCTACTGATTCTGTTGGTAAAGATTATTATTCTTTTTTTTTCTTCTACTTCCTAGACGCCAACTTTGAGGCCTCATATCTCACTCATTTCTCAACGGATTTCCCTAAAATTTTCAGAAGTTATAGACGTTTATAAACTCTATCCGAATAATAAATAAGATTTCAAAAAATCACTTCCGGTTTTGAGTTATTTCCCTTTAAACGAAAAATCATAGGCTTTCGTTTCCGGATAAAAGGTCAGAGACCACAAAATCTGGAGCAGAAATTTTACTTGTTTTAGATAGCAGAAGGATTGAAGTTGTGCACATCGGTTTTTGTTTTTCGATTTCTGCATTCAAAATGGCGCTATATAGGGGTAAAAAAATTAGAACGCCTAAAAGAGCGAAAATTTACAGATATTTTCCTTTTTATCTTGAAAACTAAAAATATTTTGTAAAGACATGTTGAATAAAAGTTGTGCATAATTACAAGCACTTTCATTTGAAATCATTAAAAAGGGGCTGGCCCCTAAAATAAGGGATCTAGGGCCCTTGAAAGTTTTTGTTTAATATCTCAAAAAGTATTGATAATTTATAATACGTCAAATAAGCAAAGTTGTTCAAAATGTCAAGCTTTATCTAATGAGGTTGTCAAAAAACGTCCGGGGACGTTACTTCCGGTCAAACCGGAAGTAGTCAAAAATTGCATATTTTTGTTTTTCTTGACAGGTTTTTGGATATCATATGTCACTGGAAGCTTAAATCTTAATTTTCCGTCCGTTGACAGTACTTCCGGTCAAACCGGAAGTTGCCAAAAATGGCTTGATTTTGCAAAAATGAAGATAGATTTGGAGGATTAAAGCATTTTTCGACTTCATTACTCATTTTTTTTTTCAAATGAAAGTTACTTCCGTTCAAACAGGACGGAAGACCTACTCGTTGCTTTGCAACGAGCTTGGCTCTAGTTTCTTATACGTTTATAACGAATTACGGATATAGCGAAGTGATTTTATAGGTCCCAGCGACTTCGTTAAAACCGAGTTTATATATATATATATATATATATATATATATATATATATATATATGGAAGGATTAAATTATGACTTTAACAGAAGAGAATTCACAGTCAATGCCAACAAGTTTTGTGCCACTAAAAATGTAATAGTTGTGATTACGTGTGTTAAATGCCAAGAATTATATATCAGGGACACGAGCAACCAATTGCGTGACCGGGTGCGTGTCCACTGACAACATATTAACAAAGTTTGACTATGACGTCACAATAGAGGTTTGTATGTAATGTTCTGCTTATTATGACGTTATGACGTTAAGTTGCTATGTGCTAGGTATTATAAAGCCTCTGAAGATTTGAAATGATAGCCATTAGGCTAAACTAAAGGTTTTCGTATGCTTTATCTAATGTGTTAAGTTATTATTGAAAGAGTTCATTGTGTTTAAGATAAAATTGAAACATTTTGGACACTAAAAGTTAAGAACCTCCATTTTATAAAAAAAATTATCTATTGTTAGCAGTAGAATATATGACAGGATACTCAACATATAATAATAAAAACTAACAAAACACGGCTTCTTAAGCTTGCTAATTATGACTTATATGAGTACTTCATTACATATTTTCACTATAAGTCGATGACTTAGAGTATACAATTACGTTGAATAATATTTTGTACACTCAGGGAAATCATTCTTTTTATATCGTACCAATCAATTTCAAGTCAAACCTATCTTTACTATTTGGTGAAAATAGAAATGCTAGTATAAATTATTTTCTTTTTAATTTCTTATAAATCGTTTAAAATGTTTCTCCATGAAGGAGCAGATTCCGCCTAAAGAAACATCAAATTTACATCAAGACACAAGAAACTACACATTGAGAGAAATGAGAGATCTCCAAAGTCGCTTGATGTTGGTTGCTGGAGAAGAAACTGGAAAAACCCAGAGCATTGACAGATTTACCTCTGTAAGTATCCTTTAAATATCCATTCTTTATCGCTTACATATACATGTAGTATTCATAACCTAGAATAACGTATTATTGAAGTTGAATAAATCCAACACTATTGCAAATTGGTTTGATAATTTAAGATACCCTTTTTCATGCTTGTACTGCTGAACAGTATAGCTAACCAATACACCAAAGTATACATTTCTGATCATTTATTGAAGATGAAGCAGATGTGGATGACATGTGATGCGATAATTTGATGATTTGATGATTTGGTAAGAAGCTACAAAGTACAAGAAAACTTGATGTATACACAATGACTGAATGCATGAACATGTAAACATAGTACATATGAACTGATTTCAAGTTTGCATGAAGATATACAAAGGGAAACCATTTCAACATATTTCTGTTGTACAATAATGTTTAACGAATTTAGACTAGATTTAAATGACAACAATTACCGATTTAACAATATATAGAAATCAATCAAAATTAGGTACACAAATGGCCGCCATAGATCGAGTCACATGTAAAGAAAACTGTGTACAATTAAACTCATATTTCTCGAATAAAAACAAATCTTGTAAATAATATCTTTGTTAGATAGATAAACAATTTACATCAATAAACTTACATTTTGAGCCGACCAGGATCAATAAAAATAATGAAAATATGGTAAAACAGGTGGACAGGACCAGGTTGAAAACCCGCGAAATACAGGAAAACAATAACACAAAAGAGTTCCACAAAATAAAATAGGTCGTATATAAAATATTTCTGATAACAGCACACTTCCCGTCTGGTATAAAATACCACTACTAATATACATGACAAAAATAAACAAAACATCATGAACAAATACAGTATAACAATTAAATCTAACAGCACAACAAATTCATGTACATGTCTTATGAAAAATGCAGGTTTGCCATCACGAATCACTCGGATCTGAACCTTTCGTACTAAACCGTCATCGCTTGCGAATTTTTTGTTTTCAACGATACCCATCGGCCAGTAGTTTCGGTGCACTGCAGAGTCTATAACTATCACAATATCACCCGGGTTCAAATTTGACTGTCTGTCCTTCCATATACGTCGCGATTGCAGTGTCTTTATGTACTCTCTTTTCCAATATTGCCAAAATATGTCAGCTAACACTTGGGAATGCTTCCACTGTGCACGATGAACATCTTTGATATCCAAGGAGTGGGATATCACAGGTAAGAAATCGACCTTTCCTGTAAGGATCATAGATAGGTTGATAACAAGAGGTTCCTCCGGATCTGTGGATATCGGCGTGATGGAATGCGAGTTAATTATAGCACAGACTTCACACATAAAGGTCACCAGTACTTCATGTGTTAGAGGTTTGAAACGTGATTCCAGTAACATAAAATCCAGAGTTCTTCTTGTGATCCCAATGATTCTCTCCCATATACCCCCCATATGGGATGCATGTGGTACGTTGAATTTCCAAGTAATTCCTGATGTCTCTAAGAACTCCTGAACTGGTCTTTTTCTACTCTTATTGTGTTGATTTTTATTTCTTCGGCACCTCCAATGAAATTCGTGCCTCGATCAGAAGGTATCAATTTCACTGGGCCGCGTATTGTTAAGAATCATCGTAAGGCATTGATGAAGGAGGAACTCGACATTTCTTCAATGACCTCGATATGCACGGCTCTGGATACTAAACATGTAAATAGGATTGCCCAACGTTTACTGTTGGCAGCGCCTCCTCGAGTTTTATTAGTTACAATTTCCCAGGGTCCAAAGGCGTCGATACCAATAGAAATGAAAGGTGGACCTGGAATCAATCTTTCTGCTTGCACATCAGCCATTTTCTGAGTTTCTCTGTAGCGTCTCAACTTACGGCAGGTTACGCACTTGTGTATGAGGGATAATAAAGTCCCTGAAACGTTCTACTTTTACACCTGAACGGTGAACGAATGTTGAACGAACGGTGTACGAACGGTGAACGAACGCAGAGCGAACGGTGAGTGAACGATGTGCAAACGCTGAACCCAACTTGGTGAACGATATGTGAACGGTGAACGGAGCGCGAACGGAGCGCAAACGCGAGCGCAAAGTGAACGGTGAACGCAAGATGAACGATTTATTCGAAATGCCTCCGATCTTTTCCTTGTATTGAAATTATTCTATTATTCTATAATTCTAATTTCAGGTGCTTTAATATAAAAATTAACAATAGATAAATAAAAAAAATAAATAAATAATAAAAGTATTTTTTGTACATATATGTACCTATGTTTTACTTTAAATCACGATTTTGATTGACGTAAAACGTGTTTTTGTCATCTCGCCCAAGCAAAACTATTAGCTTCGTTTGATTAACAGCAAAGAGATAAACACAATTTGAATTGAAAAGGGTCATTTATTAACATAATGACGAATCTACTAATGCAGTGTAATACTAATTGTAAGAAAAGTTAATAACACTCCATAAGCAAAATCAACTTAATGTACTTTGTAAAGCTTTACAATATATACACTCTGAGGAACATCTGACTAGTTCAATGATTATTGCAAAATCAAAGGTGGGGACCAATAAAACATAGTTCTTGGAACTGTTGAATCTGCAATCGAGATAACTTGTCACTTAAAATGTTTTTGACTCCTGGCACATGTTTAGCATAAAATAGAATATTGAATTGTAAACACTGAACAATAAGACGACGCAATAATTTCATAATAAACTGGTCCTTAGCACTTTGTTTATTTATAACGTGCACCACTGCCATATTATCTGAAAAGAAACAGATTCTCTTATTTGCCATTTGATTTCCCCATAAATGAACAGACACAACAATTGGAAAAAGTTGATGATCAGTCCATTCAGTCGTCCACTCTCCATAAAACCATTGTTTTCCAAACACCCCTCCATGTCCTAAGCCACTAGCATCAGTATACAATTACAGTGTTTCTGATGTTTGAAGTTTATCCTCCAGAAAGAATGATGAAGCATTAAAGTGTTCAATAAACAATTACCATGCCTCTAAATCTGCTCTTGCATCTTTTGTTAATCTTCGTCTATGGTGTGGCTTCTTTAATCCTTTGGTCAAATCAATAAGCCGGCGGAGGAATGTTCTTTCTGGTGTAACAACTGCACAGGCAAAATTTAATAACCCAATCAATGATTGAATTTCCTGTAATGTCATCTTTTTTCGACACTTTGCTTTTGAAATTTCCTGACGTATCTTAGAAAGCTTTTCTTTTGGGAGACGTATAAGCATGTTAACGGTATCCAATTCCAATCCAAGAAATGTGATAATGGTCGTTGGAAAAACTGTTTTATCTTGTTTCATTGGAACACCAATATGCTCAAAAGTCTGAAGAAGTATGCATAATTGTTTCTCACAAACAGGATAGGAGGGTGGTCCTACCAATAAAAAATCATCCAACATGTGTACACATCCAGAAATCTTTAATTTGTTAGTTACGATCCAATGCAAAGCTGTTGAAAATTTTTCAAAAAGTTTGCGTGCAAAGCTTAATCCCATGGGAAGTGTTTTATCAAAATATATATCTTTCCCAATGGCAAACCCCAATAATTCATGGTCAGATGGGTGAATAGGAATATTGTTATAGCCATGTTCAATATCCGTTTTAGACAATAAAGCTCCCTTTCCAAATTGTTTAATCAATTTAACTGCATCATCAATAGTTTGATACGATACTGCTGAATGTTCTCTATCAATTCCATCATTAATTGATGATCCTTCAGGAAAGGAGAGGTGATGAATAACCCTATAATCCCCAGGTTTCTGTTTAGGGACTAGACCCAATGGAGAAATTTGTAATGCTTCAAATGGAATATTATCAATGTGAAAAGGGCCCCCGACCCTATTTGTGTCAATTTCTTCTTGAATTTTTTCCTGCAAAATTTCAAAGTTTTCTCGAGCTGACTTGAGATTATCACTATAACGAAAGGCTCTATTGCCATTAAATGGAATACGAAATCCAAACGTAAACCCATCAACCAAATACTGTAGTTTGCTTTCTTCATAATCTTCTAGCCATAAATTTAACACTTCGACTTTTATTGGCGTGACTACATCTTGATCCTTATTTCTTAGTCTTGGTTGCTGCTTGGATGACCGTGCTTCCGCTTGCTGCATGGATTTAACTGAGCTTGGTTTGCTTTCACTTGAGAGGGTACATATTCTTTTGTGGTGTTTTCTCCAGTGATTTGGCACGAAAGGGCTGTTGTTTGTTTCCGGACTGCTAAAAATAGGAGTTGTTAGATTTTGATGATTTCTCCAAAGTCTGAATTTTGGTCTTTAGGCCAAGTTGAAGTGCCTCAGCATTGAGTTCCTGGTTGATCTGCTGCCAGGGCATAAGGGTTGGGTTATCAGCTCTCCATAGCCGAAATTGCTCGTCATAATGCAACGCAGCCTTTTCTCCAACATCTGCATTCAATTTCTGGACAATTGCCATGTACTTCATCATGTTTGAAGACTGATTAGGAAATTTCTCACAGTAAATAGACACAAAAATGTGAAAAGCATTTATCCATTGCGTAATTGATTTTATGTAAAACTTTTGTTCTTTATGTTGAAAGGTTATCTCGTTATTTTCCCCTTGTACTGCCTCCAATTTTGAATAAGGGTTTTTGAACAAAAGCGCACCAAGTTGAACATATTCTTCTGCCCAAATTTTTGCCTTTAATTTCTTATCCACACTTTGTACCAAGGGACGACCTGAATGTAAAGGGCCAGTTGTGTTTAATGTGTTACCTTGTGCACTGGTAGTCAACGGTTGACTTGATAAGACTTCTACAGTGCTAGAACTTTGTTGAGTAGATTCCTCTTGATTGACTGTTGCTTCCACATTTATTGTTTGATGTCCATCAACGCTGCTTACGCTGGTAGGTCCTTGCTCTGTTTGTGGTTGAGACATCTCTCCTTTTAATTTCTGCATAACCATTTCAACAATGTTCGGCACCATAGTTTGAAGCATTTGTGACATCAGGTCTGAAACTTCCTGTCTAGTCGTATCGTCTAGCCTCCTTCTCTTTCGTGATGGTTGCGGCATCTTGATAGCTAAAATGAATATTTTTTTTATTACAGTACCTGTACTAACGTACTTTAAGATATTTAGCATTTACTAACATCAAATGCAAAAAAGAACTTGCAATTACCATTGCCAATTCCATTAAGGAGATTCTTAAGAAACTCTCATCCTTAACAGGATGCATTTAATTCATTATTGCATGTAATGTTCCTTACATGCAACAGGTCACGCATATAATAAATAAATTTAGAATTCCTTAACAGGAATACAATTGCATCCTTAGCTAGATAAAAAAACTAATACCGATTAATTTCATCCTCTGCCGGAGAAATAAAATCAATTGATTGATTGTTAAAATTCCTTAACAGGAATGATTTTTCAACCTTATCAGGATAAGTACGCAACCATTGATTACAAAATCCTTAACAAGATTTAGTTTCCAAACAGGTATCAATTTTCAAAATTGGCAGCATAACTCAGCACAACTTACCATAGTATTGAAGAATATTCCTGATATTTCTTATTAATAACCGAGAGGCCAACAGTTAAACAAATAATGTAACAGGATTAACACCACTGTCAGTACCTTCAAATATTCCATCAAATTCTGGTCTTTGATTGATCAATACCAAAACTGTTATAGGCGTGTACTGCTACTTAATCTGTAAAACATGTCTTCATGCATTAAAATTTTTCATCATACAAATTTATAGGCAACAACAATTACCATATTGATTTGAAATCTTGAGTGCAATGTGTCACAAGTATAATTAACATTTACATAAAAATACACATGTATTATAATATATATACAAGTATTATAATTACATGTATTAATAATATTCATCTGCTCACTATACTAATGTCAGAGTATGCAGAATTGCACCTCGAATGTTCCTTTAATATTTAGGATAGCCAACAGTTTCGTTTAAATGCACACCATCCTGATTGTACATCTCAAACTGACTGTTTTTTAATCCTTTTAAAATCCAGTACTTTAATAAGTTCGAATATTCGGACAATTCCTTCTTCAGGATTTTGTTAGCAGCAATCACAAAACTGTTGTAATCACGAACTGTTAAATGTCTTGTTTTTTGACGGAATAATAATTGACACACTATTATTTCCAGGGAATATCTGTTTGCCAATAAGTTCAAAATTGCCACATATCGCAAAATTATTGTATTTACTTCATCAAGTGTCACATCTTTCGAGTCTACATCATTCCCACCCAAGTGTACCACAACACCTTTCGGTTTATGTGTCTTTATAAAAACTTCGATTCTTTAAATATGTCGTGAATTTTTTATACATCCTCCTTGTATTCCATAACACAAGACGTCGCAGTCTGCTATATCAAATTTTTTATCACAATGCGAAATGAAAGTTGATAATCTTTGCACGTGTGAATCACCTACGACCAAAACATCTGGCATGGCGCTTCCCTTACATATTGACCAATCAGCATCGAGGATAATTTTAGCACAGACAGAAAACTTACTTTCCTACCAAAAACACTGAATTAAAAACGCCCAGAAAGAACACGGTCTTTCATGAATAGAATTGTTTGTTCTTTTCCTAAATAGTCTACCTACATGCATTATTTGCTGGTTCCATTGGAGCAAGAATTCTGTTCATGGAGCAAGTCTGTTGATGGCCAGACCGCGCCAATCTCCATCGTTCACAGCTCAACCCACGCTATCCGTTTTTTAAGACCTTGCTGGACACAAACGATGGATTAAAACGCCTCAGTACATCTAACGAATCAGCACATAAACTAGATAAACCACTAACGTGGATGAAAACATTAAATCGCTAATTTTCTACTACCGTAGAACTTCAGCTTCTTATTACAAACTTTGTGACCTATTGCACTGCCACATAGCGGTGATGTTCTATTTTTTTATATTTTGCAGGGAGATAACTCTCTCAATGCACAAAATACAGCTCATGCCAAAAATCAGAGACATATAAAACCAGAGATTCGCAACTCTCCGAAATCTCGCGTAATCTCGCGGTCCCTATTGTTTACAATTTTTCAAATCTCGGACTGTGCGAGACTTAAAATGGAGGCTACCGACGATGTTAACAAAAACTTTTTAATTAATCTTTTGACTTAAGAAGGCGATAAACAGACTTTTTTATGTTTTTAATGCTAAAGAAATATAATTCGGCATATAGGAAACCAATTCGCATTTATTTTATGCTTTAAATTGCCTTGAAATTAGTGTTGATGTTATGTATTTTCTCCCTGTATTAATCAGGCCTGGTACAAACACTAGATTTAGCTACATAGCTTGATTTACCTACATAGTTTTATCTACCTAAATTTCTGAAAGTTTTGGGGCTATTTATGACAGTTTGAACAGTTACTCCTTGAATGAAATGACAAAGAAGTTATAAGTTCCAGTTAACACGATAATAGGTCGGTAATTATTCAGCACAATGTAATCATATTCAGGCATGTCTCACCGAGAGGACAGTTAACCAAACAATGGAATTACGTGTCCAAATCTAGCTATGTATAAACTATATCTGCTTTGACCTGAACTTGAACTGCTTTTTTAAGCTTCCCTAGTATAACTATCAATATAGTCATTTAATTGCGACTTTTTGTCTCTTTTTATTAAAAAGAAAACTTTTGAAAACTTACCTTGAAATAGCTAAATAAAGCTACCTGAGGTAGGTAAATAAAGCCCTACAAAACAAGGCAACCCCTTGGATGCCCATGCCTTAGAGACTATTTTCCAGCCAGCATTCCAGATGAGCCTTGAGAACATAGCTAAGGATCCCATGAACCAATTATTTGGGGACAGTGAAATCATCAAAATATGTCGTGTCATCATGAGATTACTATATTGTCTTACAACCGCATTAAAAAAAAACAATGAATCTCTGATTCCATGAAAACAAATAAAAAATGATACTGTATATATATTTAATTTGCCAAGTAGACAAACAATTCATGGAAATTTTAGATAAAGATAATAGTGATTTTTGTTGTTTTTACACATTGGACACCCAACAAAGTCCATGTATATTTATCTTTTCTAAGGTTCAAATCTATAGAAAAGTAGCCAAATACATTGCTACATACATTAATTCCAATGTGTTTATAACTTTCCATGATAAAAAATGCATAATATAGAAGTTTTAGGAACTAATAAATTTACACATATTTTTGTTGTTTTCACACTGGACGCCAAAAAAGATCAATGTATATTTGTCTTTTCTGAGGATCAATCTATGAAAAAGTAGCCAAATACATTGCTACATACATTAATTTTAATGTATTTATGCCTTTCGATAAGAAAAAAGACATATTTTGGAATTTTAACGAATTATTAAATTTGCGCAAATGTCTCCGTTCACACTTAGGGCACCAAAAAAGATCAACGTATATTTTCTTTTCTGAAAATCAAATCTATGAAAAAGTAGCCATATACATTGCTACATACATTAATTTTAATGTATTGATAACTTTCAATGGGAAAAATGCATATTTTAGAAGTTTTATGAATTATTAAATTAGCACATTCTTATCTAAAAATAGGCCATAATAATCTAAATGTGAAGTTTATTTTCGAAAATGCATGATTTATCGCACTCAAATACTACAAACACTATTAGTCTGAATGATTTAATCACCTATGACATCAACATATCTGCACGGGTCAATGAACAACCAAAGAAAACAAACCGTAGCAATGTTTACATAAGCCGTGAGCTCCCGAGGCGGGGACGCGTGACCAGTTAATCCATTGTTTGCGTGTTTTTGACACCAAATGTACCGTTAAATGAGGCCGTTATCATCTTTGGTGTCTATAAAAACAATGTACTTAATTGATTTACTTTCATGAACAGCGGGTGGTACTTAAAAAGCGATATCTTATCTCTCGGTCAATAAAAATTTCAAGATGGCGCCTGGGCTGGATTCTCACTCTCGCGTTATCTCGGGGCACGCGAGAGTTCGTGGTTATTTTGAAGTTCTTAAAAGAAGTTGCGAATCTCTGGTTTTATATGTCTCTGCAAAAATGCATTCATTATAATATAAATGTGATTTTTTTGTTACCAAACGCGTGTAGTTTGAATATAAGATTAATGTATCTATAAAGTGATTATGCTTATTCTTTCAACGAATAATATAATGTGGACTCTAGAGGATAAAACTATTTCTTATAGAATGAATTAATTACATTGCACGCGGTACATACATGAACGAACTTATTATCGCTTGTATACAAATAATAAAGTAAGTCGTACAGAACTATGTTCTCGTCAAATATAGTGTGTCCTATTGTGATAAACCGTACAGTTTAGATGTTCATTATTGTTCATTGGTTATTGTGGTCAAGATAATTTGAAAAAATTTTTAAATACACCAAAAATAAAAAAATATATATATTTATTTTTTACAAATAAACATTTCTTAAAGCTTACATAAATATTTCGTCGGTGAATGTACATGCACACGACATAATTTTCGGGAAATTGTTAATCAGTATTTAGCTCTGGAGCTTATTTTTTTTAAATTTCTGCAAATGAATAATTGATAAATAATTGGTAAAATCATTTTTAGAGATTCGCAAGCATTGAATCAATGGAAAAATGGATATAACTTGTAATTTAAGTCACTTCATGCTGCGTTTTTTTACCAACCGTATTCCACTTTCTGCATATTATGAAATCCAATTTAGTCAAATTTTACGGTCCACTTACATGCACACCTTCTGATAGAACAAACAAATCCGTTTTCTTAAGTCTCAGAATTACCTAGATAATTATTTATAATCTAAAATATTAAAATAAGTCTAACATATATTTAGTTCCAGAAAAAATCAATGTATAATATTTATAATGCTTTGAAATCTTAAATCAGTATTACATGTAAGCCGTATTTTGTTTTGAAAATACTATTGTTGGCACAAATTCATTCAAATATAATATTGTTTAATGACTGTTTGATGTTGGTTTTAAGACTGATTTTCTTGAGCTACAATACACATTTGATATTGAGTAAAATGTACTAAAAATACTAAGAATTTTATTTCGGGAGAAAAGGCACCGGGGGGGGGGGGGGGGGGGAGGAGCTTAATTATACTGAATGGCAAACATGTTTTTTGTACAGTGAAGGAAGGGATTTTCCATCTCTAATAAAAGATTTTTTTTTAAAGTTGGTGTCTTCTAAAATTTAAAACCACACTATCAATTTAATAAGCCCTAAAATATTTAATGAACTGAATATTAGCAGTACTGTTCATAATTTAAGACCTACGTGTAGTTTGAAACACGTGTTACTGTGGGAATATTTTTTTGTGTATTCATGTCCTGTAAAAGACTTGCATTAATTATTATACATCCATTGGTGATTTGTCGTCTTTAATATTACAACAAATTCTTAAAGCCGTGCTAAAAGCAATTGTACATTGCCTTTTTTGAAATTTAAGATTTGAGCATCGTTCTACATACATGTACAGTAGGTACTTAATGTATTATTTTCCAGGGAAATTTCATGAATAAAGTAACAGCTGAGTTATGACAATAAAAATATAAATACCATAGATAATTTTTGCAATGAAATAATTATTTTCAAACACGATATCTAAGTTATTTATTCAAAAAACGTGTAAATCCTTACCTTCAAAAAGATAAGTCCTTTCACTTCGGAGTTCCGAATGACAATAAAGACTGAACGATAAGTGAACGGTGAACGCAAGGAGAACGCAAAGTAAACGGAACGAAGAGCGAACGGTAAACGTTTTGTGAACGGTGAACGCAATACTGTGAACGGAGAGCAAACGGTGAACGCACGCTGAACGAATGGTGAACGCACGCTGAACGAACGGTGGACGAACGGTGAGCGAACGGAAAAATGGGAAAGTTGAACGTTTCAGGGACTGTATCACTCATTTAGCTCCAATGGCCCAATAACCTCCTGTGCGAACTGCTCCCTCAGTGAAAAGGCTTCCTTGATGTTTGGTTTTCTCATGGATATCCTGTATAATCAAACAAGTAATATGACTTCCCTTCGGTAATATGATGGGATTTACTTCCTTATCAGGTACTTGATTGGCTGCTGCATTGATCCTACCGCCAACACGAAGGAGTCCACTTTTATCATGGAAGGGTGACAACTGTGCAATCTTGTTATCTCTGGGTAATGGCTTCTCATCCATAATGAATTCAATGTCTCTTTGAAAATATTCTTTTTGAAGTTCTCTGAGAACTAAACACTCTGCTTTCTGTACATCATCAATGTGAGATGTTCATTCCTTGTCTTGCTGAGAATTCTGTGAAGTCTGTAGCTTACTGGCAAGTTTCTGAAGATTCATAACTGTTAGATTTCCAGCTGGAAAATCGCTCAAATCGCTCTGTTCCTAGTTTACTGGCTTAGTAAGGTTCAGTGCTGATTTTTGTCATCAGTGGTCTCACTTCAACATCATTGTCAGGTTCTATGAATGAAAAACTTTCACTATCATCATCTATCCTCTTTGCTTCACAGAACCACCATGGTCCAACGATCCATGGAAGTTGCATAATATCCGTATTGTAAGAGATGCTCCTGGTGCGAGAGTCAGCAGGATTTCTATCTGTAGAAATGTAATTTCATTGGTCGGCACTTGAGATTTTCAGGATGCGGTCAACACGATTACTCACATAGGAATAGAAGCGGCGAGTACGATTGCTGACATATCCAAGGACCACTCTACTGACACTGTAGTAGCACATACTCTCCAATTGAATATCCAGTTGTATCGATATTATCTGTCCTATTTTTGTCGCTAAAACCGCAGCACAGAGTTCTAGACGAGGGATGGTATGTCCCCTAGATGGCGCTTACTTTCCTTTTCCCATCAAGAATCTCACACTTGAATGTCCATCATTGTCTGTCACTTTCAGGTATGCTGAGGCAGCTATCGCCTTTTCTGTGGCGTCACAAAATATGTATACTTCTACAGTCTTGGCTATGCTAATGGATACATGTGATAACATCCTTGGAATGGTGACATCTTACAGGATCTGAAGAGATGATATCCACTCTGTCCATTTTTGAAGATGTTCCGATTGTAAAGGTTTGTCCAAGTCGGCTCCTGTAGAGGTCACTTCTCTTAGGAGGATCTTTCCACTTAAGGTTATCGGAGCGATAAATCCTAAGGGGTCAAATAAACTGTTTACATGCGAAAGGATGCCAAGACGTGTGAATGGCTTCTCTTCCGCTGGAATAGTGAATCGGAACGTGTCGTCATTAAGACTCCAGCACAATCCAAGACTTCCGTGTACTGTGTCATCACTGTCTATTTCTTTCAGATTTTCACCATGGTCACTTGGATCAAATGCATCCATGACATTTCTTTTATTTGAGGTAATCTTGTGAAATCTCAACTTGCCTTCAATCTGTATTGTAGACTGTGTGCGTTTCATAAGACTGATGGCATCAGTCTCGGAAGGTAGGGAAATTAGCCTATCGTCTACATTAAAATTGCGATTGACAGAGTCCTTCACGTCCAAGTCAGCATTTTCCACAGTTTTACGAAGACCATACGTCGCTATGGCTGGAGATGGGCTGTTCCCGAATACATGGGCCGCCACCCTGTATTCTAGAGAATGTCATCTGGGTTGTTGTTCCTGTACCAATAAAATCTGAGGAAGTCACGATGTTTCTCATTAACTCTGAATCGATAAAACATCTGCTCAATATCAGCGGTCATTGCGACTTCATCCTTTCTGAACCGAAGAAGAATCCCCAATAAGCTGTTCACCATATCTGGACCAGACATGAGCTTACCATTTAAGGACGTCCCTTCAAAGACCGCCGATGACTCAAACACCCCTCTGACTTGTCCTGGTTTTTTCGGATTTTGTACGCCAAAAAATGGTAGATACCAGCAAGGGTCATCTGATTCCGAGGAAGAAGGTGCTTCTTTTGTAGCTCCACTGTCTAGTACTTTACGCATAAATGTTACAAATTGTTCTTTTTTCACAGGATCCTTCTACAAACTACAGTGAAGTATTTGAGCACGACGGTAAGCTTAGGGTTTGTTGTTTGGTAAGTAATCAGGAAGTTGTCTAAAAGGTAAAGGTGCTGTCCAGTACCCTTCCTCTTCCTTCCCAAATGATGTGTCCATCAGCTGTAAGAATAATAATAATAATAATAATAATAATAATAATAATAATAATAATACTTTATTTAAAGAGGGTGACTCAATTAGTGCGAGCACTATTCTTCCTTGAGGCCCTCTATTAATAATATATATAATACACAATGATAAATAGTACACTCAACAATGTTATATACAGTATGACTCGATATACAATAAATAATAAAACATGCATCATTTCATTTATAATACAGTCCACATACGAGGGTTGTCCCAAAAAGTCGTAGACAGGGAACATAATTTATTTTCTCTTTGCTAAATCAAATTTCTTTTATTTTCATAGCAAAGAGTAACATTCTGTGATCATGTATTTTAAGTTTCATGACGATACAACATTTAATAAGAAAATTATGAAAAAATAAAGAAACCATGTAAGTGTACATCGGCGCACGAAAGCAAAGGTAATTTACGTCTCTCATAACGTCATGGGCCTTTTTTCTGCTTTACGTGAGGCTATTAACATCCAAATGAATATTTTTTTTATTGTGAAAACCCACTCTTGACTAAGGGAATAATATAAATTCACTACTATACTTTTTCCTAAGTAGATTCAAATCTTAGTCAAAATTAAATAAGTTGAAAGATCACCTTACATTTAAGACAGCAGAGAATACACCTTGTTTGACGACGTCCATGGCCCAGAACGTTCCCCGAACATGTCTGCGTTAAACATTCAGTACTCTACTTTACATGCAATAACTATTTTATTTCGATATAGAGGAAAAACTATCTTTGAATCTTATACTTATTCTATTAAAAACAACTTTTCAATTAAAATATAGTGTGCAATGTCCTTTCTGTATCTTTTCCCCCGTCCATGATGAATATAAAATATACCAAACACAATTTATTACATTTGCGTGCGCCGGGTACGCTTTCGACGACGTCATTTTCATCAATCTCAATTCCAACAACACTTTGAAAATCATGCCACCATTCGTCTGTTTCTTATGTTATTTATATGAAATTTTGACATATTATTAAGATTTTGATTCTGATTTCAGTGATTTAAATTTTATTGTTCAATCTTTTACATAGTTCCAAAGAAATAAAAACAAATGTAATAGTTATATGTGTAAATTATTCCAAATTTTGGTCGTGCGCCGACACACCATTTCCGCCTTCATATAAATCATCCAAATATAATCAATATGAAAGATAAATATTTAAGAATTCACAATTTTAAAGAACATTGAATGTATTATGTCTATGCAAAATTTGGTAAGTATTGGTTGTGTGTTAAAAAAGTTATTACCATTGTCTACGACTTTTTGGGACAACCCTCGTATGTATACAATTATATAATAATTTAAGTTGAATGTTGGTCTATTATATATTTTCTTGACTTGATTTTAAAATTTTGAAGTGATGGAGACATTCTTACATTTAAAGGTAACTTGTTCCACAAAACTGCACCTGAATATTGAAAAGAATTTTGGGATATTTTTGTTTTGTGCTTTGGAACACTTAAGTCAAAATTAGATTCAGATCTGAAATGGTACGAATTGGTTGATTGGTAGTTGAGTATTTCAGACAGGTAATTTGGACTTGCACCGTAAAGCGTTTTGTACATTAATACTAACTTATTTACAGTCAATTGCTCATGCACTGACAGCCAATCAAGTTTTTCAAATAAGGGTTTTGATGGCGTGTCATAGGCAGCATCTAAGATACAGCGAGCTGCCCGTTTTTGTAACTTAAGAATCCTCTCGAGGCTACAAGCTGATGCATTACCCCAAACTTTTAAACAGTATTCAATTGATGGCATTTTATAAGCATTATAGAATAACTTTCTTGTATGCAATGGAAGATATTTCTTAATTCTTCGTAATACAGATATCTTTCCAGATACAGATTTACAAACAGCTTCAATATATGTATTAAAGTTAAGTGAATTATCAATATGAATTCCAAGTAATTTTTCATGTGTGACACTCTCAAGAAAATGATCTGAGATTTTTAATTTTAGATTTTGGTTTGTCTATTTTGATCGTTTCTGATGTGTGCCTATCAACATGCATTTTGTTTTACTAGTGTTTAAAATCATCTGATTCTGAAAACACCATGTTTCTATATTACTTATATCCGAAGATAACATATTTTGAATGGAAGAAACATTACTGTCAGAAAAGTGAAGTGTAGCGTCATCCGCAAATACATGTACGTCTATACTTGATTTCTCTATGAATAATGGGAGATCATTGATGTAAAATAAGAAAAGAAGTGGACCTAAAATTGATCCCTGTGGCACTCCCGCTGTGACTAACTGTTTTTCAGATTTTATATTTCCAAGTTGAACACTCTGAAACCTACAGTTTAAACATGAGTCAAACCATTGTACTGCTTTGCGGTCAAAATTGTAGCAACGTAGTTTTTTAATTAAAATATCATGATTCACAAGATCAAAAGCCTGCTAAAATCAAGAAAGGTTACGCCGACAAGTTCGCCAGTTTCCATTGCTTGTAGCCATTCATCAATTAGTTTAGTAAGCGTGGTTTGGCACGAGTGTGATTCTCTGAAACCTGATTGTGATTTGCAAAGTAAATCAAAATCTGATAAAAATTTACGGATATGATTAGCAACATGTTTTTCAACTAGTTTCGACAAAGTGGGGAGGATAGATATTGGTCTATAATTGCCAGGATCAAGTCTATCTCCTTTCTTGTATATTGGTGTTACCTTTGCAAATTTCAATTCATTAAGAAATATTCCTGTAGAAATACTGACATTGATTAAATGGGTGATAGATTTGTATATCGCTGGTGCAGCATGTTTAAGTAAGCGTGGACCTATGGTATCGAAACCAGCCGATTTATTCACATCAAGTTTGTTTAATAAAGCTAAAACGTCATTTTCATGTATAAGGGGAATGCTAAATGTATCACCATGTTCAAGCTTGGTTTTTGTAAACTGCATTAATTTCTCGTAGTCAAAATCTTTCCGTTCGATATTCGAGATAAGTTTTTCTGATATACCTGTGAAATGATTGTTAAAAATCTCAACTATTTCTTGCGTGTCCTCGGTGGTGTTATTATTGTCAGAAATAGCTATCGGTGCAAAATTATGTGATTTTGATGCTAGTTTATTCAATGTGTTCCACATTTGTTTTGGATTTTTGCTTTGCTCTATAGTTGACCTATAATATTTGATCTTTGTGCTGTTTATAAGTGCCGTGACCTTGTTTCTCCAGATTCGGAAGTTTTCAAAGTCACCCTTTTGATGGAAACTGTCACGCGTATGTTGCGCCTTAGTGATTTCTGGTGTTAGCCATTTAGGGCGATTGTCGTTTTTTACTCGCTTAGTTTTAATTTTTGCATGTTTGTCCAAAACTTTGTTAAATAGGATGTAAAATTTCCTCAAAAATTCATTTGGGTCACATATGCTTTCCAGTGTTGTAAAATTAGCATTATTTAAATCATTTAAAAAATTGTGCTCATTGAAGTTTTTGAAGCATCTGTATGTTATCTCAGTGTGCTCTCCCATATGTAAGGATTTATTTGTTTTTCTTGTGAAACACACTGGGTAGTGGTCTGACAAAGCTATGGGGGGTACTTGAATTTCACACATGTTTCAGGTAAATTAGTGTAAACATGGTCAATGAGTGTTCTTGATGTATTTGTAATTCTAGTAGGTTGTTGAATTACTTGTGTTAAATCAAACTCTTCTATAGCAGAGGTCCAGTACCGAGGGGGGTCTTTGAGCAGGTCAATATTAAATCACCTGTTAAGATAATTTCATTTTCATCAGCCAACTCATCAACTCAGTTGGAGGCAGCAGATGGAGGCCGATATGCAGAACAAAAGAAAATTGGTTTAGATTTTGGAATTTTAATTTTAAGCCATATTGTTTCTATATTATCTTGTTCAAGGTCATCTCGACGCTTATAATTTAGATCTTTAGACACATATACAATAAGTCCTCCACCTGCTTTACCTCGTCTATCCTTTCTTTCAAAAACATATCCATCTATGCATAATTCATTATCAGCTGTATTTTCATTTAAGAAAGTTTCACATACCCCAAATACATCTAGTGACTGTTTACTATCTAAAAGTAATTGGATTTGATCAATTTTCGGCAAAATGTGACAAATATTTTAATTCCCAAATTTTAGCCCCCTTTTATTTAAGCCGAAAGGTGATTGTGAATTTCTAGATTTTTCGGGAGGGTGATTTGCATCTTTTTATTCGTGACTTTTTTGTTTGTATAATTTTCTGAATTTTCCTTTTTTGATAATGAATTTACAGATTTTTTAGGGATCGGTGGCTTGTTTGAATGAGGGTCTATGTGAAACTGTGAACATTTACATTTTACATTGTTACATTCTTGACATAAGTTTATAAGTTTTACATAAACGTTTTTACAACTAGGATAATTGTTATTTGTAATAACGGCTGTACATTCATCGCCGATTCCCTAATATTCACAAAATTTAACTTTGTGACCAATTTCACCACATTTCCAGCAAGTAACTTTCCTCCCATGCATGCAGTTTCGTGCGGAATGGCCCTCCTCACCACAGAACGGACGGGTATATTTACGGGATGTATTAAGACGGCCTTGTACTCTGTCGCATTTCAAAACGTTCACTTGTCCTTGAATGATCCTGAGAAACGAGGATGTCCGTTTGTAAGAGAGATGGATTCCGTCCTTCCAGTACAATTCAGGGCGAGGCTGTCTTGCTTGAACACCTGTGTTGCCGATATCACTGTAGCTCCGTACTCCTCACAAACAAAACGAATTACATTATTAACTTCACAAACATTGATATCTTTCCTTGCCAAAAATTCACAAAT